CCAGAATTCTCACTGTTTACTGGTTTAGGAGAGGTGTCTACTCTAGAACACATAGGGCGATTCACGTTGCAAAGTGGTGATGTAACCGATTACCATAAAATGAGACTTTTCCCTAGTTCGTTAACAGGGGTAGCTTTCTCCTGGTATATCAACTTGCCAGCGAACTCTGTTCAAACATGGCAACAACTGGAACAGTTGTTTCATGTTCAGTTTTATAAAACTGAATCTGAAGTCACTTTGGCTGATTTGGCGAATCTACGTCAAATGCTAAATGAATGGGCAGAAAGTTTTCTCCAAAGGTTCAAAACAGCAAGAAGCAAGTGTTTTGTACCTCTGCCCGAAAAAGAATTTGTCAAAATCGAACAGAGAATATGTACAACAAATTTATTTGAAAAATGTTAAATAAGGGCAAAAGGGACATTTTACACTTGCACCATTTTGCACCAAAATAGTGCAAAGTTTGGTGTTGGGTTGGAGCAATTTTGCACCATTTTTGGTGTAATGGTGTCATGGTTGGAGATGCTCTTAGTACATTATAGCGTACAACGAAGTAACATAAAACATTTTTGATAAAATTACAAAATCCGTTGTTTGAGTGGTATGTGTACTTCTTTGCCATTTTTGTGAAGTCGGAATGACTATTTTGTGGTTAAGTATAGAGTTGAGATACATATTGTCCTTTAATGATCTTATAACATTTGGTTCCTTGGCTGCTGCATCTTATAGTTGATCCCCTTGTTCTAGTAATCGACAAATGTTAGATTTCTTGAATGTCATGTTTGGGAATGCTTTTTCGAGTGCATAAGTTGGTCAAACGTTATTTTTATTCACAAATTCTGTGTGATCCACAACTTCTATTTTCACATTTTGTTGGATCAACAACTTATAATTTACAAAAGAATTATCTGAAAATAGTACATTTTCACGTTGAATACGGCCAGTGAAAATAATTGATTATATATAATAAATTGTGTATAGATATCAAGTGGGTTGGCGTGTGACGCTCTACTTTATTGTGTCTGCTAAAGTGACATGATAGCAAAAGTCATTACTAATATGTATATAAACATCAATACGTTAGATTAATTATGTTCTAACTTTTCAGATCTGAAATTTCTGCTTTTTGCCAACATAATCTTTTGCTTGGCAACGGCCCATCTTCTTAGTTAACATGATAACGCACATATTTCCTATCCGAACATTTACACGGTCCTAGGGGGCGTTTGTTTCTCATTTTTGTAAAAATGAGAATGAAAAATATAATCGTTATGGACTCCACATAAGAGATAGAAATTCAAATTTGATGGTTTGATATAATGAAAATGATCATATTTTTCATTTTAATAGAAAAATAATGGGAAACAAACAGGGTCTTAGTATGTAACAATATTTCAAGAATTGTTATTTCTATTTTTTTTAAAAGGTGTTGACACATAAAAATTCAGCCCAGATCGAACAGCCCAGAGAGTAAAGTCCAATTGGAGGATCCCCAAATCAGATAGCCCAAAAAACGAAATCCAATTGAACGAATCAAGGTGAATGCCCAAATAAGGGGCCCAATAGTGCGGTAACGTCATCGCCCAAGTTTGCAAGTCGCTCAGAATCTGAACGAATAGAGTGGCATACGGTCGCCCAGAGTCTCGCCCAAATCTTCAAGTCGCCCAAGGTATCAACAAACATAACGCATTATGATTATCAAGAAATGCAGTTATTGAGGCAATTGCTAAAATAACCTTATCACGTTCCACGACTCAAGGGGTTCAATCGAAAGCGGTTGAACGATGCAAGATAATGGCAGCAGTTAAAAGGACAGTTTCATGACAAAATGGCCACTACAAAGAAAGTGGGTAGTTATAGGGCGATCAAGCAGTTTTTTAGAGCAGTTAATCACAAAGGGATCGCCTATGAAGTATAAAAGGGAGAAAGAACTTAGAAGCAAAGGACCGAATCCAAAACTCTCGAACAGAGAATATGTAATTTTCATTCCTTTAGCTTTTAGACTTAAACACTTCCTTTTCTGTAACTCGTGTGCTTGCGCCCCTTGGAGGCATGTTGTTTTCCGTTTCCAATTGTAAAGTTCATCGCCAATAAAAAGAACACCCCTTTTTGGGACTTTATCTCAAGAGGTTTCGTCCCTTACACAATCGTCTGATCCTCTTTAATTGTTAGCGAATTAACACGCGCGAAACAATTTGGCACGCCCGGTGGGACAGTGGTGTTAGGTGTTGAAAGTGCAAAAGG